CCACCATGAGCAAGACCTCAGAGACAGTGGCAAGGAAAACCAAAAACAGAAACCTTATAACAAAATATCTTACTTGACAAAATAAATGAGATAGATACAAACAAACAAACAACAAAGATAAAATATAAGTAATCATAAAATAGTTACAATATGAAAATAAAGAAATTAAAACACCAAGAATTAAAAGTCAGCCATCATGAAAGTATTTCCAGTGAAAATGTGTTTTGTAAGATTTAAAGCAGGAAATGTCACTTAACGTCTGCTGCACCTAAATTATTTAAAGAAATAAAAACAAGAGGAGTTCAACATAAAAATCTAATAAAAATTAAAACTAACTCCTCAGTAGCACAAAATAAGAGAATGAAATGTGGACTGTTAAATATCAGGTCTCTGTCCTCTAAAGCTGTTTTAGTGAATGAATTAATATCAGATTATGATATTGATTTACTTTGTCTTACTGAGACCTGGTTGTCCCACGAGGAGTATGTTAGCCTAAATGAATCCACCCCCCCAGTCATATTAATACTCACATTCCTCGAGGCACAGGCCGAGGAGGTGGAGTAGCAGCCATATATGATTCGAGCGTTTTAATGGACCCTAAACCTAAACTAAATTATAATTCATTTGAAAGCCTTGTTCTAAGTCTTTCTCACCCAAAATGGAAAACACTGCAGCCAGTTCTATTTGTTATAGTGTACCGCGCTCCTGGACCGTACTCTGATTTTATATCTGAATTCTCAGAGTTTGAATCAAGTTTAGTCCTTAAATCAGATAAAGTAATTATTGTAGGTGATTTTAATATTCATGTGGATGTTGACAATGACAGCCTTAGTAACGCATTTATATCATTAATAGACTCAATTGGCTTCTGTCAGAGTGTAAATAAACCAACTCATTGTTTTAATCACACTCTTGACCTTGTTTTATCATATGGCATTGATATTGAACATTTAATAGTCTTCCCACATATTCCTTTCCTATCTGACCATTATTTAATAACTTTTGAATTTCTATTATTAGATTATAAGCCATTAGGCAAAACTTTCTACAGCAGATGTCTATCTGACAGTGCTGTAGCTAAATTTAAGGAGGAGATTCCTTCAGTGTTTAATTCAATGCCATGTCTGAATTTAACAGAGTCCTATAACGACTTTAGTCCCTCTGAAATTGATAATCTTGACGATAGTGCTACAGGCTCACTACGATCAACATTAGACTCTATCGCTCCTATAAAAAGGAAATTATTAAAACATAGGAGACTAGCACCGTGGTACAACCACCAAACCCGCCAATTAAAACAAATAGCCAGGAAATCTGAAAGGAAATAGCGCTCTTCCAAATTATCAGAATATCGCTCAATTTGGCAAGATAATCTTAAAACTTATAGAAAGGCCCTCCGTAATGCCAGAGGAGCCTATTACTCAGCACTAATAGAAGAAAATAAGAATAACCTTAGGTTCCTCTTCAGCACTGTAGCCAGGCTGACAGAGAGTCACAGCTCTATTGAGCCACATATCCCCATAAACTTAAGTAGCAATGACTTCATGAGCTTCTTCTATAATAAAATTATTACTATTAGAGAGAAAATTATTCACCAACTGCCATCAACAGTTATCAGTGGCTCTCAGGGACTTTTGTCAATGTAAACTCAGATATATATTTAGACTGTTTTTCTGCCATCGATCTTCATCAGTTAACTTCAATCATTTCTACATCGAAGCCATCAACCTGTCTGTTAGACCCGATCCCAACTAGGCTGCTTAAAGAAGTTGTTCCCTTAATTGGCACTTCTTTACTGGATATGATTAATCTTTCTTTATTATCAGGATATGTACCACAGTCCTTTAAAGTAGCTGTAATTAAACCCCTTCTTAAAAAGCCCACTCTTGACCCAGGGGTTTTAGCCAACTATAGACCGATTTCTAACCTCCCCTTCCTCTCTAAGATTCTGGAGAAAGTAGTCGCCAAAGAGTTGTGTGACTTTCTACATAACAATAGTTTATTTGAGGATTTTCAGTCAGGATTTAGAGTTCATCACAGCACAGAGACAGCTCTGGTTAAAGTTAATAATGACCTTCTGACTGCTTCTGACAATGGACTTGTCTCTGTACTTGTATTATTAGATCTTAGTGCTGCATTTGACACCATTGACCATAATATTCTTTTACAGAGACTTGAGCATCAAATTGGCATTAAAGGAACCGCACTAAGCTGGTTTAAGTCATATTTATCAGATCGCTCGCAGTTTGTACATGTTAACGATGAATCTTCAATAAATACTACAGTTAGTCATGGAGTTCCACAAGGTTCTGTACTTGGACCAATACTATTTACTTTATATATGCTCCCTTTAGGCAACATTATTAGGAATCACTCTATTAGGAATCACTCCATTAACTTTCACTGTTATGCAGATGATACACAGTTATATCTATCAATCAAGCCCGATGAAATTAATCAATTACATCTAAATTACAAACATGTCTTAAGGACATAAAATCCTGGATGACCTGCAATTTTCTGATGTTAAACTCAGAAAAAAGCGAAATTCTTGTTCTTGGCCCCAGAAATCTTAGAGGCTCACTGTCTAAAGATATAGTTACTCTAGATGGCATTAACTTGGCCTCTACCACCACTGTCAGGAATCTTGGAGTTATCTTTGATCAGGATTTGTCATTTAACTCCCACATAAAGCAGCTCTTGTGCTTTCTCATCTCGCAGGTTCTTGTCGATCCTGGTGGAGCCTCCTGCCATGGTCCTGCTAGATTGCCATTGCCAATACTGTTGTTGCTGTGCACCTGTCTGTCTGTCTGTCTGTCTGTCTGTCTGTCTGTCTCTCTCTCTCTCTCTCTCTCGCTCTCTCTCTCTCTCTCACCCCAACTGGTCGAGACAGACGACCACCCACCTAGAGCCGAAGGATCTGTCCTAGGTTTCTGCCTTTTAACAGGCAGTTTTTCCTTGCCCTTGTCGCCAAGTGCTTGCTCATGTTGGGTCTCGGTAATTAATGTTTTAAAGAGTTCGGTCTAGACCTGCTCTATTTGAAAAGTGTCCTGAGATAACTTCTGTTATGAATTGACGCTATACAAATAAAATTGAATTGAATTGAACTGAATTAAAATGTTCACAGGTACGAAAACATTCAGTATTTATTAGTGATGTACAGATTAATTAATTAACCTACGACATTCACTTTCAGTATGACAGGTTGGGATTACAGGTAGGGTTACAGGTAGAGTTACAGGTAGGGTTACAGGTAGAGTTACAGGTAGGGTTCTTTCATTCAAAGGACATTTTTTCCTCTGCAGGTTATTTGACAAACATGTATTGATTGATGTTTGGTGGACAGCGAGTGGGCAGTGGAGACTGATTTCATCATGTAGGGTTACATCATGTTGACTGTATCCGCTCTCAGTAATGAGCCCCGGCGGAGCTCCTCTCTTCATCAACAGCAGCTATTTCCATCTGTAACACAACATAAAGAGGCATCTGTGTGGACACTTGGACACTCTGGAGGCTCTAACCAGCTTCACTAACAGGCTAATTAGCACACAGATGTTTGCTTTGAGTGTTGATGCTCCTGTGCAGTTGCTTTTCTCTGGGGACTTTTGTCTGCACACTGTGTCCATTACATGTAAAGTTAGATTTGACTTTGGCCCAATGACCTTGTTTCACTCACAGGAAGCTCAGTAATCTGGCAGTTTGTTGGTTTAACTCAGTGGTTCCCAACCTGGGGGTCGCCACCCCTTCTAGGGGTCGCCAAGGCTTAAAGACCTTTTTGATTTTAAGTGTTATAAATGTACGGAATAGGCCTATATGTTTGCATTTCAAGAGAACCAGTGTTTCCCTGTAATGACTATGGCGGCCTGCCACAGTCTCATTTGTCCCACCACAGTCTCTGTAATAATGAATCGAAAATAGTTCATCATTGTTTTAATATGTTACGTGATTAACATGAAGCCTCCTCCTGCACAGTCTGCTCACATACCAATATGTACAAACCTGAAATCTCATAGCATCTCCCTCACACCTTACTTCACCAACTTTTGTGTTTGTTGTTTGTTGTTGTTACCCCAGTTGCTGTCATTGTTTGTGTTGCTGTCTTAATGATAATCAACATGAAGCAAGATGAGCTCCCTGATAAAAACCATGTTCTGCCTAATAAACATACATATATACACACATACCGTTATTGTGTTCACTGTTGGGGTTCATTGTTCAGTTCAGCTGTCCTCTGCTGTTATTGTAGAGGTTCTTTAAATCATCTTGTGATCCTTCAGATTTATTTTACGTTGGAAATCACTGATTAGTTGACTGACTTAAGATTAATAGACTAATAATTACTAATGAGTCATGTGTGAATCAAGGCGTTTCTCTTCTTCTACCCATAATGAAGCAACATCTATAATATCCATTCATTTATCATTGACTGGAAACCCTAAAATAGTGTGTTAGTCTACAGCTGATGACCTTTATACCTTTTAATGCAAGGACACTTTTTCTTCTGGGAGAATCTGCAGTAGAGTGGTTGCTTTCCTCTCAATATGTTTTTCCCTTTTGCATTGTTGGTTTGGTTCATTGTTTTTTCTCCCTTTAAAGTTGGACATTTTCCAGTTTAAGTTCCATTGCAGGTTGTTTTCAGTTTTCAGTTTTATTTCTTTTCTTCATTTTAATCCCTGAATAAATTCAGTAAACTCAGTAATCTCTCTTTTAGTTAAACAGTTTCTCTTGATTTTAAGCTCAGCTTTCTTTCCAAATGACATTATTCATATTCACCATAGTTACTTGAACCTCTGCCCTGTTGCAGTGTTGCAGAACAAAACTCACAGCATTGACAATAACAATCATCAGTTAGTGTATTTTATTGTCAGTTCAGAGAAAGTAACATTGAAACAAAGACACAACCCACAGATCAACACGCTGCTATGTGCTCTTTTTATAAAAATCTGCATCTAAACTCACAGTTGTAGAATTCTATGTTTAATAACTTTGTTTATACTTTGCTGAATCTCTTGCATTTTAATACCATAAATTATGGGATGCAGCAGAGGAGGGAGCACAAAAAAATTCATACATGTTAGAATATTCACAGCTTTTGGAACTTCTTGACTCAAACGATTGTAAATGACACCAAAGAAGGACGCCACAGAGAAATTAATGAAAGTCATTAAGTGAGGGCTGCACGTCTGCAATGCTTTACTCTGAGACTCCTTTGAGGTTTTTAGGATCACTGTAAAAATGTGAACATATGACAGAATGACTAGTAAACAGGGGAAAACAATCACACAGATGGCGCAGCACAGACCGTACACACTGATCAGAGTTGTCTTTTTACAGGAGAGGTTTGCAATGACCAAACTGTCACACATAAGTTTATCTACTGTGTGTCTGCACAGTTTGAGTCTGGACGTCAGATAAACCTGGATGGCTGACGAAGAGCTCAGGATGAAATAAACCATCATCAGCATCAGTTTTACTTTAGCCGGCGTCATGATAGTGTGGTACAGCAGAGGTTTACAGATGGAAACGTACCGATCGTAGGCCATCAACGCTAAGATACAAAATATACAGCCACTGTACACATTGGTGAAAAACACTTGTGTTAAACATCCTTCAAGAGAAGTCTCCTGCCTGTTCATTATGAGGTGTTTGATAATGTTCGGACACACAGATGAACTTCCCATCACTCCGCTGAGAGACAGATTGACCAACAGAACGTACATCGGTCTGTGAAGGCGAGACTCAACACAAATAACCAGAACGAGGAAAAGGTTAATACACAAACCTGAAACGTAAAGGACAGAGATGCAAATGACAAGAGCAAAGTTATACAGACCAAGAGTGCTGTAGATCGTAAAGGTGATGGGGACTGTGGACACAGAGCTGTTCATAATGACACTTTAAAAAAGGCACATACATTAGACAGCAATCCTCTCAAATAACGCAGACTATTTTCTTTCACCTGTTCCCAACCTGCTCTAATTCTCACAGTTCAGGAAACAAAAGCAGCATATCAGTGTGATGCTCTTTCTTCCCCCTCCTCCTCATCTGAATGAGCTTGATGAGAAGTGTTTGCTTTTATAAAGCTCTGATATCCATCTGTCTTTTTCCTCCGGGCCCCTGACGTCAGAATATCCAGAGAAGGACAGTCACATGTACAGTAACAGTTTAGGCTGAAGACTTGATTTTGAATTAGTTTTTCATTTTCATTCATATTGTGCCTAATGAATTACTTATATTAAAGGAATACTATTTACCTCCATTAGGGCTGGCCCACTTAATGGTCGCCTAAACTGTTGGTCAGTGAGAAGGGTCTTAGTTGAGCCAGTTTTTATTAGTTGGACAGTCGCAGGAAAACAGATGAAAATTGACCATTGTGAGAGAAATGTGGTAAAACCTTTAGTTGTCAACATGGAACAGTGGTTGTAGATCTCACTGACAGATTTACATCTTTGGAGACCAACCAGAGATTATGAAATCAAAGGACGTTGAATACACTGGCTGGTGCAGCATTTCCTAAGTTTGGGAAGAATAAAACCCACACACACACCAGCACTATGGCCAAAACGTGTTGATTGTTTTTCTGCATGTTCAAAACATAAGAGCCAGCTGATGATATGATTCACCACACATACATCACACATACACCATGCACAATCTGACAGGCCTTCAATGTTTATTGTACAGTTTGTACATAAAACTTACACAGTCATTGTTGTAGCGTAGGGCCGGCTGTGCTGCTTTATGAATTAGTTTGAATGAGATTAGTTTCTGTTGAGCAGTTGGGACCTTACAGCCTCTGCCATCGGTGTATGAATGGGTCAATGTGACAATGTGTAAAGGTGCTATAAAAGTGCAGTCCATTTACCATCGTCTATCAACTCCTGAACAGAAATACTTTTTTATTCACCATTTCTTGATTCTCTCCATTAATGACATTTAAGCTAGGAAAACAAAACAATCAATGACTGAAATCAGTATTAGCTCTAACCAGAGACAGAGTGAGTATGAGACAACTCTGTTGTTGTTGGAATCAGTGCTATATTAAAGGCACCTATCTGCCTTACTAGTCTTAAAGGGACACTTCACCCATTTGCATTAAGCTTTGTATCATTAGAACCCCAGTCATATTTTTGAATGGTCGTGCATCATTCCCTCACTTTCCCTGAGAGGGGAGAAATAAGGATGTTAGTGTGTCACTTCCTGCTTCCAATGATGTAAAAATCATCATTTTGCGTCATTGGAAGCAGGAAGTCTCATATCTCTGTAGAAGGGGTGAGACTACAAACACTACTTCCTCATTTTTCTTTCACTCACGCTACAGACCTATTACAGATCAGTGGGTGGGACTTCACCTGCAGAAACTAAAAATATAACCGCCATCTTGTTTGGAAGCTGAGTGGAGGCGCTGTGGAGCCAGACGTTACGACTACGGTAATCAATCTAATATGGAAGAAATTTCGAAAGTATGATGGTCGAATCAGATGTTCGTGGCTACCTTTATGAGCCGCAACATAGCGAGCAGCGTCAGAGGCTTCTGCCACCGAGGCAGAGGACCTGCCTGTCGCGGACGAGGAGCCCGGACTGGCTCGAGCTGGGGCGGACTGCTGGTGCCTGTGCTCTCGCTGTGCGCCTACGGACACATGGACGTCTGACTGTAAAGTGTTTCTATTTTCTGTCTTATAACAATGTGGCATGTATGTACACAATTTGTTCAAGTATTATCACAAAGTTATTCCGGGTTAATACGTAACGTCAGCCAACTGAACTAACATTAGCTTCTTTACTGCACAAACAGCTTGCAGTTGCATTGCTAACTACTGTGGCACGCTCAACACAAAGACCATGCATCTCTAACTGTGTGCTCAATGTCTTGTAGACAATATCGCCTAACAGCCTTTCTGGAATGGGTCCTGCAAGGCGAGAGATTGGGTCGAGGCGTTGTTTTACCCGCTGATGTGGTGCAGGCTCTCCGACAGTATCCAGCTCCAGATGGCCAGTACTGCGGCACCGAGACGTTGAGGACGCTCAGGAGGAACTATAACTGTCATTGTTAACATATTTATTTTTGTTGTTGTTGATATATTTCTGTAAATAAATGGTTTACATTCACGTTGTTGTAGTCCTTGATAGTGTTAGTGGGAGCGGCTTGCGGAGCTGTGCATTGTGGGAGTTGTTGTCTTTAATACAAATGTGCCCTAAAGTCACTTTCTGTCTTTTCTCGGTATATGTTACATTTCGACTACATATATAACCCACTTTCAATAAATATTAATGTTTCCACGGGTGAAATGCTCCTTTAAATCAAAGTGCTTTTTACCCTGTCCTAGGTTTCTGCCTCTTAAAAGGACGTTTTTCCTTGCCGCTGTCTCCAAGGTCTTGCTCAAAGCCTTTTTAGTTTTTTGTTACCTCAGAATGAGCCACAATATAAAAAAAGTAGTCTTGTTGTGTGATTAGATTGGCTGCCTAATTGGAGTATCCTTCACTAAGTGCACAACTGTAAGCACAGCATGTACCTGTTTGAAAGAAAAGAAAAAACTAGATAGGAGAGCAGTTTACTAATTATAATAAAAATAATAGAAAAGCTTTCAATGCAGTATTGAGTTGACTGCAGGAGTAAGATAAGATGTTCCTTTATTGATCCGCCGTCGGAAAAATTTAAATACAGAACCAGCAGCATGACGGAATGTAGTGCAAAGAGTACAGAGTGTATAAGTACAATAATACGGAGCCCCTAAAGGGACATGGGAAAAAAAAAAAAAAAGAAACGTTTCTAGTGCGCACTAGATACTATCTTGTGAGCACTAGATAGGGATCTAGTGCACTAGATATGGATCCAGTGTTGTGGGGAATCAACACATGGCTCATTTGAATATTAAAATTAGCCATGTGTTGATAACCAATGAAATTACTTATTTTGACACACATTTTAAGCCAATAAGTATTAAACTAACAAGGTAATGTGTCAAAAGGCGGACCGTTTTTGTTATTTTCTCAAAAGGAGGACAAATGAGTGTCCGGCTGCAGGACAGGGCATTTAAAAGTGGACTGTAACAAAAAAGGTTACAGATTAATTTACATTTATTTTTTAGTTACAGACAAATTAGTTTAATACTCATTTGAATATTAAAATTAGCCATGTGTTGATTCGCCACAACACGGGATCCATATCTAGTGCGCACAAGATAGTACTAGATAGTATCTAGTGTGCACAAGATAGTATCTAGTGCTTACTAGAAACGTTTAATTTTCTTTTTTTCCCCCCATGTCCGTTTAGGGGCTCCGTACAATAAGGATCACAAAATAAGAATATTACAAAATATAATAGAAAATATATACCCTATATGCAATATGCAGTAAGATGGTGTGCAAAATATTTTGAGCAGCTTTTGACTAAAAAACTAAACTGTACTCGCGCAACTTAAAGATAAATAGTTTGTGCGTCGTAGGTTGAAGTTAAACCAGTCTTAGTCAGAGGGGTTTAGAGGTACTGGGTGCTATGGTGTTGTGGAGTCTGTAGTGGGAAAATGCTGATGTTTTTTGAACATATTTTTTAGAGGAAGCTTAAAGACTTTTGTTGGTTGTTCAATCTAAAGAAATAAAGTAAAATAAATAGCAAAAACAAAACTGCATAAAGAAATGTGCGTGAGTTCTTACCTATGAGAAAATAATGATTCACAATCAAAAAGAGATTGTAGCAGTGACTGAAAAGGGTTAGGCTGAAACCATAACCTAGTCTTACCCCTCCCACGTATATTAAAAAACATGAATACATCTGTTAGATGACAGACAATAGTAAGCACTCTAGATTCCTTTACTAAAAGTAAGACTTTTGCATATGATGCGGATTTTGGACATATTCAGTCCGTACATTTACAGGGTTGAAGAGCGGTTGGCATGTAAGCCAGTATAATGATAAAAAAATATGCAACATAATGGGTACACTGCTCATATCAAATCTGCTCTGCACAATTTCAAAGAAATAACCAAAAGAAAAGTTCAGCAGGGAAACAAGGTGAGGAGCCACAGCTCTATTGAGCCACATATCCCCATAAACTTAAGTAGCAATGACTTTATGAGCTTCTTTTATAATAAAATTATTACTATTAGAGAGAAAATTCATCACCAACTGCCATCAACAGTTCTCAGTGGCTCTCCAAGTTCAGGGACTTTAACTAATGTAAACTCAGATATATATTTAGACTGTTTTTCTGCTATCGATCTTCATCAGTTAACTTCAATAATTTCTAGATCGAAGCCATCAGCCTGTCTGTTGGACCCGATCCCAACTAGGCTGCTTAAAGAAGTCGTACCCTTAATTGGCACTTCTTTACTGGATATGATTAATCTTTCTTCATTATCAGGATATGTACCACAGTCCTTTAAAGTAGCTGTAATTAAACCCCTTCTTAAAAAGCCCACTCTTGACCCAGGGGTTTTAGCCAACTATAGACCAATCTCTAACCTCCCCTTCCTCTCTAAGATTCTGGAGAAAGTAGTCGCCAAAGAGTTGTGTGACTTTTTACATAACAATAGTTTATTTGAGGATTTGCAGTCAGGATTTAGAGTTCATCACAGCACAGAGACAGCTCTGGTTAAAGTTAATAATGACCTTTTGATTGCTTCAGACAATGGACTTGTCTCTTTACTTGTATTATTAGATCTTAGTGCTGCATTTGACACCATTGACCATGATATTCTTTTACAGAGACATTGGCATTAAAGGAACCGCACTAAGCTGGTTTAAGTCATATTTATCAGATTGTTCGCAGTCTGTACATGTTAACGATGAATCTTTAATAAATAGTACTGTTAGTCATGGAGTTCCACAAGGTTCTGTACTTGGACCAATACTATTTACTTTATATATGCTCCCTTTAGGCAACATTATTAGGAATCACTCCATTAACTTTCACTGTTATGCAGATGATACGCAGTTATATCTATCGATCAAGCCCGATGAAATTAATCAATTATCTAAATTACAAACATGTCTTAAGGATATAAAATCCTGGATGAGCTGCAATTTTCTGATGTTAAACTTAAAAAACGAAATTCTTGTACTTGGCTCCAAAAATCTTAGAGACTCACTGTCTAAAGATATAGTTACTCTACATGGCATTACCTTGGCCTCTAGCACCACTGTCAGGAATCTTGGAGTTATCTTTGATCAGGATTTTTCATTTAATTCCCACATGAAGCAGACCTCTAGGACTGCCTTCTTTCATTTACGTAATATTACAAAAATTAGATACATCCTATTCTCCTATCCTATTACCCCTCTTTAACACTACTTTCTCTGAATGCTGGGCTACTTGTGGTTCCTATAGTCTCTAAAAGTAGAACAGGAGCCAGAGCCTTCAGTTACCAAGCTCCTCTCCTGTGGAATCAGCTTCCAGTTGTGGTTCGGGAGGCAGACACCCTCACCACATTTAAGAGTAGGCTTAAGACATTCCTCTTTGATAAAGCTTATAGTTAGGGCTGGATCAGGTGAGTCCTGAACCATCCCTTAGTTTTGCTGCTATAGGCCTAGACTATCGGGGGATTTCCCATGGTGCACTGAGCTCCTCTCTTCCTCTCTCTTTCTGCACTCATTCATGTCCCATTAATGCATGTTACTAACTTCACTTCTTCCCCGGAGTTCTTGTGGTTTCTCGTCTCGCAGGTTCTTATCGATCCTGGTGGAGCCTCCTGCCATGGTCCTGCTAGATTGCCATGGCCAATACTGTTGTTGCTGTGCACCTGTCTGTCTGTCTGTCTGTCTGTCTGTCTGTCTGTCTCTCTCTCTCTCTCTCTCTCTCTCTCTCACCCCAACTGGTCGAGACAGACGACCACCCACCTAGAGCCGAAGGATCTGTCCTAGGTTTCGGCCTTTTAACAGGCAGTGTTTCCTTGCCCTTGTCTCCAAGGTCTTGCTCATGGTGGTACTGTTGGGTCTCTAAATAAGGTTATAAAGAGTTCAGTCTAGACCTGCTCTATTTGAAAAGTGTCCTGAGATAGCTTCTGTTATGAATTGGCGCTATACAAATAAAATTGAATTGAATTGAATTGAATTGAATTGAATTGAGTGCAGTTACTGACAGCTTTCTGTCTGGTCTGTTTAGTATTCCCATATATACAATCTATATAATGCAAAGCTACAACCTTACAAGACACAGTTTCCTTACATTAATCTCCTATCCTGCTGCAGTCATACTGAGCCCTCCCTAACTGAGCTGAAACTCTGCTTCTGCTTCTTTTAACCTTTTCAAGTCAGCTGAGGCCCCCAGAACCTGACCATTATCAAAGGAATTGCTAATTGTTGATGATTCCTGATTTCATGTAAAACAGCTAACTTTCTTTTGTGTATATATCAAATACATCTTGACAAATATCTTGACTAGGTGGGTGGTCGTCTGCCTCGACCAGTTGGGGTGTCAGCAGATAAATATT